CGTACGGTTTCGTCGTTGCTACCCAGCTCCTAGCCGTCCTGGCTCTTCCATCCCCTAACAAGATAGGGGACAACGGTGCAACCACCACGACAACAAGTGCCGCCGCCGCAAGAACCACAGCTGCTGCTGCCGAGGAGGGCGCCGCGGAAAACGAGGTCGAGCTGACTGGCCAGTTCGCGGCCAAGATCAACCTGGGAGGTAACAATGTCAAGACAGACGTTGTCTTCCCCGGAGGTGTAAGAAACACTACATCTGAATATCTTACCAAGCGCGACAAACTGACCCTTCTCCCAGCAAAACGGCGCTCTCGAAGTCGAGTTCCAGAACCAACAAGGCCGCGTACTAACCGTCACCGAAAACACCACACCACCCGCCGCACCAGCGGGCTTCACCGCCCTCGAGCCCGTGTCTTACGTCGTCGCCCTTGAGGGTGGAGGCGAGGGCCTCACACTCGCCAAGATCGACTACATCCGCAACGCCAACAGTCAGTCTCACAATCCCGTCTCCCCTCCATCTAACCCCAGTCAAACTAACAAAATCCTTCCAGACACCCTCGACATAAGCAAGGGCGTCCTAGGCGTCCTCTGCAAGGAGACCAAGACGTTCGCCATCGCCGCCGAGACAGAGTTCGAGGCCGACGAGTTCGAGCTCACCGCCCCCGTCGCGAACCTGGCCGGCGAGTTTGCGTTTTTCTTGCCTAATGACGCTGCCGCTGCTGCCGGTGGAGCTGGTGAGGCGGCGGCTGGTGGTGCCACCGGCGGTGCTGCTACCCAGCCTAGTGCGGCCGAGTTGCTTCAGCAGTTGGTTGACCTGCTTAAGGCTGCGAAGTAAAGATCTGAGCAAGAAGAGAATGGTTTGCTGGATTTAGGAAGGAAGACTTGGGGTTTCCTGTATATAGACTTTGTTATTGTAGGGAAATTCAGGATGCTGTGCGTCAAGGTTCTCTAACATCGCTCTCTCGACCACCGAGACCTATTGTGATGTGTAAGAGGATGGAAGCAGTCGAGACCTCGACGCTAGGACTCGCTAATGTCATCAAACGTCGTTGTGATGCCAGTTGAGGCAAGCGGCACATCTCTACACCCCATTGCTCTATGCTTCTCATCCACCGCACCTCTGCACCCACCCTAACTGATAGGGTCATTCCAAGACCTCATCTTCCACGTACGACCATAGATGTCTGAAAGCTCGGGATCCCGTCCGCTCTCCCATAGATAAGCAGGCAATCGCCAGACTAGTACTCGGGTGGGTGACCACCGGGGAATCCCTGGTGTTGTACGTTTTGTTGTTTTTGTTTTTGCCTTTCCAGCTCCGGCTCCTCCTCCTTTTTGCAAGGTATGCCAACATCCCAGACAAGGTAGTAGGTACGGGACCTGGGATCGACTTCCAGGTTGTCGGGTAACCGGCAACAAGCGACGCTATCTACTCTACCCAATACACTAGTATCGAGGCGTGAAGCAGGGGACTGTGTCACTCCTGGACGAGTCACGGAGAGTCGACCTTGGTGCCAAAAGACCGATTGATGGCGAAGCAGCTTGGAGATAGGTACTAGCCTGTCGTAACGGTAGTGAAGATGATTGACCGTGCCGGGCTGCATCAATAAGCGAGACTGACTCGGTGTTCGTACTGCATGCAGCTGTGTTGAGGTTGGGTAGTCCTGAGATCTCAGACAAGCCAAGCCATGTCTACTGTGTTAGATTTACAACGTCAGAAGCCAGGGCGGCAGCTTGGCGGTCGGGTAGACCTGCCTCGCTGTATCTGGTCGGCAACTTTGTGCCGATCCTTGCAATTTGGGTTTATACGATTACGGAGAGTGTACTTCCTAACACGATGGACATACTGTAGGAGCGGTGATGAGAGGTTGGCCGAATTGCGAATGTGAGACGTAGACGTAGGTATTTGCCATGTGAACTGCTCATAGAGAGGTCGGGCCGTGATTTTGAAGAGTCAAGAAGAGGCCTATCTACCTTAGAGTTGGCATGCTAGGCGATCGAGAAAGAAAGCTTCAGCAAAAGCTTATGGAAGAGAGACAAGAATCCATAGAGCCGGGTGGATCACTTGATATCTGGGCTTCGTGAAGTTGACCAACGAGGCAAGTGGTCGTGTGCTCTGCTTCCCCTTGCGGAAGTGTGTGACGAAGGGGAGATTGAGCTGATGTCGCCTGAGCGGCGCTAAATCTCCGCTGCCAGGGACGCTAAGCCGGACCCACACAGCGTGCCTGAACTGGCCTGCGACACCTTGGCGGTTTCTTCGCCTCAACGGCTGCAGCCGTAGGACCCCTGAACTCTGTCAAGAATTGGCCGCTCAGCCATCGACAATCTGGTCCACTCAGATCTTCGAAGGTCTTGGTGGTGCTGATCCGTTTCAGTACGGCCGCCGAGCCACGATAGTCATGTCTGAGGCTTGGCTGACGACTACGCTATCACTGCCGGTTGTACAGGTATTGGCCACTTCGAGTGAAATGGGCTCCTGTCGATCGGATCTTCGTCAGGATAGCACTTGTGGGCTCATCGAAAACATTGGCATCCCAGCTTGTCTGTTGCTAGTCACGCTGAGGGCGGCTGGTCAGGACCCAGTCGTGGTTTGCCTTTATACAACCCCTTGGCGCTCTCTTCGTCTCCTCTGGAGATGTTCTATACTCTGTAGGCTGGCCTTCCGATTTTTTTCTCACTTATCGTACCCTTCATAGAGGAACAGCTGGTCTGTGTTTATTGTTGTGTTTCTGTTCGTGTGTTTGTCTTTACTGTACATCCCTTACCTTCATTTCGATCTTGAATATCTCCTTTTTCTTTCCAGTATTTGTGGGATGCGACAATAATCAGCCAAGCAGACATGGATCATCAGAGGCTTGACGATGCGCTGGAAGCAGGGCCCCGGAACGATGGCAAGAGGGCACCTCCAAGAGTACGGCGGCGTCATGTTGCCCGGTTTCGGGGTAGCCACCGCAGACTCGCTCGGAGAGGCGACGACGACTCTGGCCCTGACTCCGGTCCGGATTCAGGACCAGATTCAGGACCGGACTCAGACGACGAGGACATCGTTATCCGGCCGACGCGCGTCCTTACTTCCCTCCGTCCATCGCTGACGTTGAGACTCACTTCTGCCTTTGGCACTCCATCCAGGGTGGCCAGTATCACGACCAGTAGTACGACCAGCAGTACGACCAGCATCGCGACTAGCACGAGGATTATTCAGTCAACGCCACTCCTCAGGTTTGCCCCAGCGCCTACCACCACCAGAGCTGCTCAACCTGCCGGTCTTGGGTCGACGCTCCAGGTCGCCGACGGACTCGGTGCTGATCCCGGTGCTGAGACGGACTCGAATGGTGACTCCGGTATCGACTCGGGTATTGAAAGTTTGAGCGAGGACGAGGGCGAGGAATCGGAGGACGAAGCCGAAACTGCTGAGCCACCATCGCCCACAACTGCACCGGTCCAGGGCGAGACAATCACCTCAAGCACGTTGACGTCGGCTACAGCGGTGGAGAACTTGACAACAACAACTGCCGCCGCCGCTCCTCCACCTCCGCCTGCGATTGGTACTTCGCCGCAGTCCACTCTCACCAGCTCAACTTCTCCAGATCCAGCACAGAAAACATCGCCATCCATTGACAATTCAGGTTCCGGTTCCGGTTCCGGAAGCAGCCCCACAAAGGGGACTGTCTCTTCGACCCGGTCCCTTACGTCGGCACCTGCTCTCACGCCGACGGAGCTGTCAACGCTAAGCCTCCCGGCACCTCAACTGGCTTCGCCAACATCAACAACCGGCGTTGCTGTAGAGGGAAACCCCGAGAATGTTCTGGGAGCCATCACTGCCGAGCACAAAGACATGACCGGAGGACAAGTAGCCGGCACGGTCGTGGGCGTATTGGGTATGTCCATCCATCACTTCCATGACAAGAAGCCATCACTAACATCTCCTTAGCCGGTGTCACCGTCCTAGTCGTGGCAGCTTTCTTCCTCCTCAAGCGGCTCCGCCAACGCGGCTACCGCATCCCATCCCTCCCCGTCCGCTTACCATTCTCCCGATCCGGCTCTGACGCGGGCTCCGCCCCCTCAACAACCGGCACAGCCTGGCCAACCCCTTGGAACCGCAACCTCTGGGGCTCAGTGAGCAACGGTCCGCTCTCAACCATATCCGGCCTCCGCAATAAGAAGTCCCGCGTCGACAAGAAGACCAACTCTGAGATCCTCGACGAGCTGGTCCAAGCCTCCTACGCCGCCGAAGACGGCAGCAACAACAACAACAACAACACCAACAACTTCCTCGTGCCCGCAGAGAAAGCCCGCCGTCGCCAGTCCGATCTCGAATCTCAATCCCCTCCATCCCCGGGCACCTTCCTAGACGAAAACTTCCTAAACGAGAAGTCGTACGCCAAGCTCGAGGGCCCCTGGCCTTTCAAGAGCCCGGTTCACACTAGAAGGACGGCGAAGAAGCCCGTTCCTCCGCCCAAGACGCCGGGTCTGGTGCCGAGGTGGTTGGACGGGATCCTCACGCCGCGGCAGTCGGTCGTTGCTGTGCCGCCGACGCTCGTGCCCGGCGGCGGACAGATGTCGACGAAGTGGCAGCCCGAACCGCCGCTGCCCGCTGCCGGAGGCGGGGGACAGGCGTTGGGGGGGTTGAAACCGCCTGCGCCGTCTTTTGCTAAGGGGGCGAATACCGGGAGGGATACGAGGATGACGGAGACGACTGCTACTAGTAGTAGTATTGTGTGGTGAGGTTTGTGGTGGGATGGGTTGTTGTGCGTAGAATGCTGCGGAGAGATGAAATACAGCGTGCCATATATCTTCATCTAGAGATGTACATACTCAACCAAGACACACTCTTTTAACACCGCCGTTGCCGAGGGCATAACTGCGACCTATATTGAGCAACGTCTGAACCCACAAGGATCATGCACGATGATGAATCGGACCCCGAGTCATGTCCTCCTCTTCGACCCGCCCACTAACTGGCCTGTCCGCACCATGACAGGACCGACAAGCTCGCACTTTCCCACCGGCCTCGTGGCGCAATGGTAGCGCGTAGCTTTCCGGTTGATCTTTCCAGTCCTAGCTGAGGTTTCAGGTTCGAGTCCTGACGGGGTCGATCTGCCATCAACCGCTCTCGTGCATCTGTTACCCAGCATGACACACAGCGGGGTTCCTTTTTTGCAAGTTCTTGTAATGTGATTATCTCTTTTTGCTCCCTGATTAGGTTTAACATCTTAAGCAGCACATGTCATCAAGGTGACCATCACCTATGGGAGGAAAAGGCATATGTTTTGTTGTTGTACTCTTGGTCCGACACCGGAGCATGGGCTGAGAACAATCGTGCCGTCCCTGTGGGGGTCCAATCTCAAGCGGCTTAGACACAGTTATTCTAGAACCGCCCTTGAAGACGTTGATGGCTCAAGAATCCACGGTTCTGGTATGCGCCCAAGATGCCAGGACGGAACGGGGGACAGCCTGCCTGTCTTTACCTAAATACAAAGTTGCTGCTGCTTTAGGTTCGGTCTCGGCTATGCTGAGCTGTCTTCAATCTTTGATGTCGGTAGTACCTAATTAAGCAAGTCCGGTGAAGGCCACTGACAAAGTGTCATAACTGCAGTGCTCAACTTGAACCTGGTGTACTTCCTCCAGGCTTGCACATACCGCGGAGTTATTCTTCGACGTCGTACCTGTCTTGAAGGACACAAAGCCTGTTCTCTTAGAAAATGGGTCCATTTCCACCGAGTATCCTAGCACACCCGTAAATGCAGAATAGGCCGAGGGAGATGCCATCTCAACTGGCCCCGCCCAACTGCAGACTCAACCTTTTGACGAAGGTTCTTCCTGCATCCCCCACCCTTGAGACGACCTCGATGGGGGTCAGGTAGGGAAAGGCTACGGTACCCGAAGGACCTTGGGGGGATGCCAGTCCCCGACTACCGGCACAACGATGGAGAAATTGTGATAATTTGGTGCTCCTGCAGCGTCCACTCCGCACGTGAGATGGCTTCGCCGGAGGAATGCAGAGCATGGCGTGGGGGTTACACTTCGCTCGGGTGATGGTACGATTGGATGCCAACTTTAATCAATGAGACTGTAAGCCAAGAAGGCGGTATTCCATCCCCTCAGACGGACTTCATGTCATGTTGTCTGCAAATGCTGTCACGGATGAAGGCTATTTCGACTTCGCAGGTACCCTGTACTGCGGCTCCACTACGAAATCATGGAATGGATACCTTCGTACAAACGCAACTGATTATAAGATGCTTTAAGGCTCCAGAGTTACATCAGCAGCTGAAAGCTTCATCCTGGTTTCGTGGTGTAGTTGGTTATCACGTCAGTCTAACACACTGAAGGTCTCCGGTTCGAGCCCGGGCGAAATCACGCTTTTGTTACTCTCTACCTTTTGTCGGGCATGACGATCTATACAGAGAAGCCTAAGATAAGTAGTATAGTACGAGAGGATTTGGAATAACTTTTTTTTTATTTGTGTTATCTATCTGGTCTTATAGAGAAAGAATAGGCAACTGCATTCCCGTTCGACCCTAACGTTAAAACGCGATGGTGCAAGACATAGTGCAGATCTTCACGGTAGGAGCAAATATAAGTTGGGGACTCCTTCGAACAAACGCAAGTAGGGAAAAGTGCGGCCGTTAAAGAGTTTTCATGCAAGGTGCATCTATGATATCTGTGCTCAATCCACCAACATCTCGCAGTGAGCGTCGGTCAGGCCGTAACGCGTGACACTTTAATAAAACGCATCGCTAAACGCCAAGCCATGTTCGAATCTGACCACCCACGCATCTCATTTCTAACCCCCTCCTTGTGTTAGGTGGACACACGAAGCTCGTCCTCTCCGAGTCCCTCACAGTCAAGGTATCCTAGCACTCATTCTCAGTGGTGGCTAGTAAAAAGGGGACACAGCTCCTCGAGACAGCGGGCATCCTCGTCCCACACTCCGAGCTCGACAACCCGTCATATGCTCCAGTATCCAATCTCTCTCCAAACTGGCAGCCTGTCACCATCGTCATCCTCCCCTCTCAAAGACACTTCGATACGTATTCAACTTCTGATCAAGCGCAGAAAAACTAGGGGCCGCCGCGCCATCCCCATTCCTCTGCCGCGGCTCATCGGTAACCACAAAAGTCTCCTCCCCATCTTCGTCGTCGTCTTCTGCCCCGTGCTTGCCCGTAGCTCGATCATTACTCAGTTCGTCGATCCCCCCCTCGAACGCCTCCGCCACGTTGGAGTACCTCTTCTTCGGTAAGAAAGGCGGCTGTTTCGCTGGACTCTTGCCCGGCGACGGGCCGCCGACGCGGTAGCCGTTCCTCATCTTGGCGTCCCTCTCCTTCTTCCTGAGGTACTCCTCCTTGAGGTCCTCCGATATGTTGTCCTCCGGCTCCCACGTCGGGTTCTGGTTCGGCGGCCAGTCGCCATCCCATAGCACCTTGAAATAGCGGACGAGATTGTTGTCGAGGTCGTCGTCGTACTTATCGGCTAGCAGGGCCTTGACTTTCCACTCGTTGTCGGGCTGCTCGCCCTTTGCGCGCTTCCGTTTCTTAGCGGGGCGTTGCTTGGAGGCGGATTTCCGCGCGGATTGGGCGTCGGCGGACGCCGAGGGGGTTGCGTTGGTTGCGGGTGTGGGTGTGGGTGTAGGTGCTTGGACGGCGGAAGCGGAGCTGAAGGAGGAGGGGCGGACCGGGATTGGTACTGGGGTGATTACTGGTGTGAAGCCGGTTGATTCCCGGCGAGGAGGCTGTGGTGGTGCGCCGTTGGAGGATGCAGGGGGGAAGTAGTTAGATACCAGCGGGGTGCTGGTGCGTGTACTGCCGCGGGATCTTGGAGTCGATTCTCTGCGGACAGACGCAGGTTGTTTGGCCTCAGAAACTGGCTTCGCAGGAACAGCTTGCTTTGTTGCTGCGGCGGGTGTCGCGGGCTTCACTGTAGGAGCGAACTGGGTAGACTTAACCGCAGCAGCTGGTGCGAAATCTTTCAATATAGCAGCCGGCTGGGGAGGCTTCGTGGCGGTAGCCGGCCCTTTGCCCTTGAGGTCAGGCAGAGAGGGCGGGGCGGAACGAAAGACCGATGAGGAGCTGGCAGAGCTGGGCATGCCACCACCCGATAGCGCAGGCGACGCTCTGCTGGCTCTGGCGAACGGAGCGCGTGCAGAGGGCCCAGTCGCTGCAAGGCTGCTGGCCCGGGAGGAGGTCTCTTGAATCCCCCGGGCTGGCTCAAGCAAATCGACTGCCTCCGAGTCAACCTCCATCTCCTCCGGGTATGGGGCTTCGCTGTCCGTACCCGGATATAGCTGCCGCCGTATAGCCGCATCCTCAGACTCTTCGGCCGTCTCCTCCGCTTCTGTGTCTCTCAATAACTCCTCTAGCTTCCTCTTAGACGGTGTGGACAGCGACGGTCCTGCCACCGCCTTGTTGTCCGCCCGCACATCCTCAGCCTCGGACTCGAGAGCCACTGCCTCAACCCCGATCGCAGCCGCGGCAGCTTCCCGTTGCGCCTGAGCAGGCCCTTTCCTCGGGCGGCCAGGCCTCTTCTTCTCAAGCTGCGGAGCAGGGGCAGGAGCAGCTGCAGCTCGCCTCTGCTCTTCCTCCCGCCTCAGTTGGTCATTGTACTCCCAGTCCTCCAGTTCTCGCGGGGAGACATATTCCAGTACCTTGGCCGCGTCGACGCACACCCTCGCGCTCGGCAAGTCCGTCCAGCCGATTGTATAGAACATCCTTCGTTGTGGGACGTAATCGCGAGGGACGTTCAGAGGTACGGGCAGCACGAGCTTCGAAACGATAAAAGCGGTTGAGTCGCGCGGAGGAAGCAGGCTGATGGGAGGCGGAGGAAGTTCGGCGAGGAAGAGCCGTTTCGGCTGGCTGTGCAGGAGGATGTCGATCGTGACTTTCGTGGGTTTTTTGCCTCCTGGTCGTTTCTTCTGGCGGGCGGGCGTCGCCATGGTGGTTGTCGTCGTGGAATTGTTATGGAAGGTGCGGCCCCGTCACCCTAGTAGTGTCCCCGTGGGTCGCCGCATAGGCTGAACGCGCCGCGCCGCGATCGTTTTATTAAACTGACGGCTGCGCTTGCGAGGAAAATGTCAGCAAACATTATTAGAGGTTTCTAGATGTTCCAGAGAAGCTCTGGATTTTTTCATGATGGTCAGGGCAGTATTTACCGTTGTTTTGGAAATGATGAGGTTGTTGTGAGGTTGAAAGTAGTCCGCTCTTTACCCACTCGTAATAAGTTCTTTCTACCCCACCTAATCAAAGTACTAAGATAAAGGATTTCGAGTTAATAACACTTATTATTAAGAGAATTTAACCTCTTATTAAGTTCTTATTAGTTGTTTATCTTTCTCTTTTAATTAATATTTTAATAAGTATTAGTTATAGTTAAAGATTTTATAAGAAATCTTATAGAATTCTTTTTTAATAAGTTTTGAAAGTTAAATTGTTTACTTTTCTAAAAGATTATAATATATAACTAACGTTATATAATATCTTAATAACTATCTTTTTTTAAAAGCTTTATAAAGATTTTATAAAAATATTAATATATTCTTTATTAATACTAGATTAAATATTTATTTGTTATTTCTTTAAGTCTAAATAATAAATAAGTAAGATATTAATAAAGATTGTCTTACTAGTAGCGAGGGAGGCTGGTGTTACTTAGCGGCTGCTAACGTATAGTGGGGCCGGCGAACGGTGGGACATGCCGAGGTTCACGGAAACATCAACAGGGATCGTCAGGGCCATGAGAAGGCAAAATTGTCGCATGGAGGCGCACAGCTTCTTCCTCTTTTCCCTCCTTCATCTAGGAGAAGATTTAGAAGTAGCCAAGCCATCATGAGCCCAAGGAGCTCCAAGCTTCCTGCGCCGGAAGAGCGCACAGTGACCGCCCTGCGCCAAATCCCGTGGTGCGCCGGACTCCTGGACGACAAGAACCTCACAGCCTACATATCACCATCTCGACGAGTCAAACCCGACGGCGCAGATATTCTGTTCAACCTCACGCTCAACACGCCGACCACCATCGCCGAGTATGTCGCCCTCTATCAGCAGCCGGAGAACCAGGATAAGCCCATCGAGGAGCTGAAGGCTATCATCTCGCTTGGCACGG